AGTGCTTATTCCACTGAGCCATCTCCCCAGCCCCCTAAATACACTTTTTTTTTTCTCTCTCTTTTTTTTTTTTTTTTCTCTGCCAGCTCAGTCCACCAGGGGGCGGGGCTGGCTGGCATGTGGTGCTGGGGGATTGAACCGCGGTCCCTGTGCTTTGCCAAGCCTGTTCCAAATAGGTGCTTTAGACCACTGAGCCATCTCACCAGCCCCGTTAAATACATTTTTTTAAAAAATTACCAATATAAAAGCTGGAGATATAGCACAATAATAAGATTGTTAACTGAGTGTGGACAAGGCCCTGGGTTTGATTCCCTGTCACCTCAAAAAATTTACCAGATAGGGGCTGGTGAGATGGCTCAGTGGTCTAAAGCACCTACCTAAAGCAAGCTTAACAAAGCACAGAGACCACGGTTCAATCCCCCGGCCTCACATGCCAGCCAGCCACGCCCCCTGGTGGGCTGAGCTGGCCACACACACACACACACACACACACACACAAATAAAAATAAATTAAAAAAAAAAAAATTTACCAGATAGGACTGAAGATTTAGCTCCATGGTAGAGTGCTTGCCTAGTATGCCCAAGGACCTGTGTTCAATCCCCAGTACCACCAAAACCAAAAAATAACTCACTAGGATAGAAAAAGTATATTTACTCAATTATTCTTAATTCAATATTTTTATTTTGTTCATTTCTGAATGTAAAAATAACTTTGATTAAATTTTAAAAACAAGTACTTTTGTGTTTATCTGTTGAGATAGACTTTTGCTACATAGTCCACCATGTTAGCCTTGAACTCATGGTGACCCTCCTATCTCAGCCTCCTGAATGCTGGGGCTACAGGCACACCTGTCTTTAGCCACTCTTTATGTAAAATTTTCTACATCCCTTGAATATACTATTTGTTGTTTTGGTGCTCTAAAATTCATTTTCACACATTTAATGAAACACCCTTATTCATTTAAAAGCAGCTCTTTCAACTGGATTAATAAACATTAGTTGTTAGCATCATGCATAATTGATATATAAAGAATTAGAATTACATTTTTTGTTATCAAAACCAGCATGTAATTCATGACTCAAAATTTAGTAGTTTCTTATAGGCAATAAAAGTACTAAGTGTTCAATATGAAATATTGACTTAGGCCATAAATATCAAGGATCAATTCTATAGGCTTCCTTGCTGCTGTCTGGGTAAGAGGTCTCTTTCCTTTTCACTAAAAGAGAGCATATTATGGTAAAATAAAAGTGGACTTTCTCTTGTAACACTGCTGGCTATGTGCACTTGGGCAAGAAGCCAGTTGTTCAGCATCTGCTAGCAACCATGGACTAGACACTATGTTAAGAGTGAGAACTACACCCTGTCCATCTGGTCTCTAGACAGAGGTGTAAGTTATAATTCTGTTTCTCCTATTGCCCTTTGGGTAAACAGTGCATGTCACCAAACTATTGTAAACCTCAATAACCTGTGAGATGCAAGTAATAATGCCTACTTCACAGGGTGGTTATAAGAATTGTTAGAGGGGCTGGTGAGATGGCTCAGTGGTCTAAAGCACCTACTTAGAACAAGCTTAGCAAAAAAGCACAGGGACCATGGTTCAATCCCCCAGCACCACATGCCAGCCAGCCCCGCCCCCTGGTGGGCTGAGCTGGCCACACACACACACACACACACACACACACAAATAAATAAAAATAAAAAAATACTAAAAAAAAAAAAGAATTGTTAGAAATGCTTATGCAAACTATCTAGTACTTAATAAGCAAATAACAACTGTTAATTCCTTTCTTTATTCCTTTAGATATAACCTCACAAAAATAAGTATCTTACCTTGAGGCACAAGTAATATAGGGTCCTTTCAGTATTTACAGAACATCCAAATAATCAATTACTATAAATACCAAGTCTCCAAATTATTAGCATGTGGTTTTCTCAGTCTCAGCAGCTCTGAGATTTTGGGCTGAATAATGCTGACAGTTGGGGCCGTCCTGGGCATTATAGGTCTTAAGCAGCATCCATGCCTCTCCCCCCACACACATAGCAACACTCTTTGTGTAAACATACAAAATGTTTCCAGACAGCACCAACTGTTCTCCAGGGTCAAAATTTCATTCTTATCCACTCTGGTAAGAATCAGAGCATTAGTGAATCATAAACCCACATTTATGGGTCTTCAGCATGGAAGGAAGGAAACGAAAGAAAGAAAAAGGGCATCAGATCTGCTATGTGCTGAATTGCACCCTCTAGCCCCATTCAAATGCAGGTCTAACCTCCAATGTGACTGTATTTGAAGACAGGTTCCTTAGGAGGTAATTAAGGTTAAAAGAGGTCACAAGGGTGGGGCCCTATCTCACAGCACTATGTCCTAATATGAGGAAACATTAGTTTCCTCATTAGGAAATTAGTTCTTGCCTTCTCTGCCATGTAAGGACACAGCAAGGTGGCCTTTGACAAACCGGAAAGAGCACTTTCACCAGGAACCAAATTAGCTGGCACCTTGATCTTGGACTTTGCAGCCTGTGATCCTGGATTGCAGCTTAAGATGCCTGGTTTGTAGGGGTTTTTTGTATGGCAGCCCAAGCTAATACATAACTTTCTATAAGCTAATACAGAACTTTCTGTAAAATAGAAAATCTTATAAAGCAACATAGGTAAATCCTTTTTTTAAAATGTATTTGGTACAGGGTCTCACTGCACAGCTCAGATTTGTATTGATCCTCGTTTTCAGCCTCTTCAGTGCTGGGATTACACTGGGTGGCCTACTCAGAGTGTGTGGGGAGAGGCAGGGCCAGTGCAGCATGTGGTGCCAGGAATGGAAACCTGGTCCCTGCACTTGCCTATGCAGGCGCTTAGTCCTCTAAGCTATCTCGCCAGCCCTAGGTACTTTATTTATTGATATAAATTTCCTTCTACAAATTTTGGTCAAAACTTTGAAAAGACATCCCAGTACTCTGGGCAGTAGAAGCAGGAGGATTGCAAGCTTGAGCCCAGGCTGGTCAGTTTGGTCGCTTAGGAATACCCTGCCTCAAAATAAAATAAAAACAATGGGATAGCAATGTTTTTCAGTGCGAGGGCCCTCGGTTCAAAAGACAACTACAGTACCACAAAAAGAAAAGGCTGATGCAAAGGAGATTCTCCTGCGATTTTGCAAAGATCTCCTGTAGGGTCCAAAATGACAGCATCTGGAAAAGTTAGCCTCTGGTGGTGTGTCCAGTCATCAAAATTTAATATCAAAATATTAGATGGACTATTAAAATTTTTCTACACTGGCATGCTCACCTTGGTATATCCATAGCTATCAATGAAATGAGTGAGTGAACACAGACTACACCATTTCTGGTAAATTTCAGCCAGCCAGGCTCCTATCACCTACAATCCCACCGCAGCTCCCTTTGTGTGGAATCTGTCTCCCCCCATGCGCTCACTTCCAGCATGAGCTCAATTGTTCTGTGGGGGGACATTTTCCACAGGCTCTAGACAGGTTTATTTCTTCCTGTTCTAATTTGTTTCCCCCCTGTAACTCGGCATCTTTTCTACTATTAGTACCTGTCGACTGAGCGGGAGGAAAACAAGCCAATTACTGCCACTAAGAAAGCAAATGAATGTCCCTTTCAAGCTGAGGGGAAAACAATCTCCTTACAGCGGTCTAAACGGATTTAGGCTCCAGCTCCCGCGGTGACAGGCTACCACCCCGTGGAGCTGCTGTGCACAGCAGGCTCATCCCAAAGCCAAACACCCTGAACAAAGCACCCGCGCTGCGCAGCTCCTGGGGTCTACGCGGTTCCTGTCTGCCACTCATCTGCGTGTGTCAATTTTCCTGAGACAAGGGTCACTGTGGACCTCTGCCGAATCCACGGCCTCCCGGGACCTGCCTCTGAAAATTCTGTCAGCGCGCTGGAGATAAAAGCGCCCAGTTATCTGTATTCTTCTCCAGTACCCGGTGGTTCTTCCTGCGGAAGCGCGGGAAGCCGGCCACCTCTGGGTGAGGGCCAATCGCGGCAACTTTCCCCAGGGCCTCTCCCTCGGGATCAACTTTGGAATCCCGTTGGTGACGGGCGCCCCGCTGCGCATCCGTCGCGCGCAGCCGGACCTCGCAGACGGGCCCGGGCCGCGGCGCAGGTGGGCGTCTGAGGGTGCGGCCCGCCCCCGCGTGCTCGCGGGCCCACAGGTGAGGTCGGCGCGAGGTGGCGCGGCGGGACAGGCCCGGGCAGGGCTCTGTCCGCCCGCGCTGAGAGGCGTGCCTGGAAGGCCTTTGGGCGAGGTGGGCTGAAGAAACGCAGGGCCGGCATTTTATTCCTACTCTAAGTCGCAACTCACACCGTGAAGAGGTGACAGTCACTCGTCTTCCTTCCTCTGGTTCTTTGGAATTCATCAGGGCAAGGAAGCTCTGGCCGGGAGGAACACCTGAACACTTTTTGAAGAAAAAGTTTGTCACTCACGACCTTATTAAGTGTGACTGTACCAAAATCACAGCGGGCGCCTTGGGTCATCACGACGTCCGGCCCTCGCGAAAGCGGCCGGACCCCCACGCCCCACTGCGCACGTCCACGCAGTCCTCCGCCCAGGGCACCAAGTCCCGCGGCAGAGGCGGGGCCCTGGGGGCGGGACGAGCAACAGTCACGTGGGCCCGGCGCCCTCTCCGTGATTTCCTAACAAGGACTTGGGCTACGAGGCCCCGCCCCCAGCCCGGCCCTGGAATGTGCTTAGAGGCACAGCCCCCGAACAGACGCAACCATCTGCGAAAAGCAAGGGGGGGAGAAAGACAGTGGAAGAAGCGATATAAAAAGGAGGGAAACACAGTAATCAAACGCAAATAACTGCCATATGTTCCGTCATTTTATGTTCTGTTGGTTTATACCCTTATCTCGTGCACTCTTTCAATGCTGAGCCCGTTGACCACACTGGCAGTTCCCCTCCAGGTCTCCCTCCCATGAACCCGGCCCACTCTGTGGGCGGTCCAGGGTGTCTAGGCTTCCTTCCGGTATGCCAAGCGTGACCGGAAGTGTTGGTTTTTAGAGGCTATTAAGGGTAGGAGGGTGGTGATAGCTTTAGCGCGGGGCCTGCTGAGGTGTTCTGGTTCTCGCTGCTGTTCCGGGTGAGTGGTGCTCTCGGACCGGTCTCGGCAGGGCGGGAGGCGCACCTGGGCGGGTGTTGAGCCGGACCCCAGGTTTTGAGCCCTGGGGTGTGCTGTGGGATCGAGGCTGCAGCCACAAGTGGCCCAGACGCAGACCTCGCTCCTGTTTTACGTGGGAGCTGGGATGAGTGATTTCACTCGTTGGCGCCTTCGTTTGGGCCGCTGCCGTGCCCGCGAAACCCGAGTCCTCCAGCGCTGACTCCGGGACTATATTTAGTTTCTAACATAAACTTGTCCGATTCCAGGCAGTTTGCGCCAAAACCGGAGCCCGTCCTGGCTGCAGCTGTTGCTGCAGCTGTGCCATCACGTTTAGAAGCTGTCGCCAGCTCGAACGAGCTCAGCGTCTGCTCCAGGAACTAGAACTTTTTCGAGCTGATATTTCAACAGAGGAGTTGGAAGTTTAGTTTGCAGCCGGAGGGAAAACTCCAAAATAAAGTACCATTTTGGTTTTGGGAGGAGACTCTTAAGTGAAAACAATTTCCCAAAGCAGTGTTTCCTTTTAATGTAGCTTAGCAGGTGTATAAAAATGTCAATTCTTAAAAACCTTTGGAACAAAAATTTATTAACATTGTTGGTGTTTGGTGCTTTGTAAGGCCTTAGATAGGTTAATCAGAAAAGCATTTTATTTTCAAAAGCATGGCGTCATTGTGAAGTCAATCCTGACAGCTGTCTTTGTCAAGTGGTACAGAACTTTTGGGTGTGGCAGTCTAAAAGAAACAATCTGACTTTCAACTCCAAATTTAAAAAAAAAAAGCAGTTGGAACGGAAACCCGAGCTTGAAAAAAATAATTTTAAAAATCTGGATGGTAACACAAAGGTTTCTAAACTCGAAAAAATACATTGATTAAATGATGTGTAGATCAGCAAAATAGGTACTAGCACCCTGCAGTTCTGGGACGGGGGGTTTTCATCAAGGATCCATCTTATTACCCAGTATATTTTCAGTTTATTCTGTATAAGAAGTCTGTAGGTTGGGCTGGCGAATGGCTCAGGGGTCTAAAGCACCTACTTGGAACAAGCTAGGCAAAGCACAGGGACCGAGGTTCAATCCCCCAGCACCACATGCCAGCCAGCCCTGCCCCCTGGTGGGCTGAGCTGGCCACACACACACACACACACACATAAATAAAAATTAAAAAAAAAAAAAAGTCTGTAGGTTATTTTACATTTATAGTCATTTTGTAAATGCTGAACTCTAATATTTTGGCTGATGTAATCTAATGTATACACTAGTATATAGAGACTGGTTTCATTTTTAATAGGTTTTTCAAAAATCTAAATAGCACAGTTTCTAGACGTACTTGAATCTCTCCATTTCAGAAATCTTCTGGTTGCCTCTGACATGTGGGGAAAACTGTTTTGGTGCTCTGGGCCTTCTGTTTCTTTCTTTCTTTCGGCAGGACCAGGGACTGAACTCAGGCCCTTGAACTCCAGCCCCCTTCTGTTTCTTCCATATCAGAATTTACAGCTGCCTGAAGCATGTTTCTTATCCCTTCTTTTGTTTTAGACCTTTATGATTATCTGAGAGCTCTTAAAACACACACACACACACACACACACACACCAGACAAACCCAGACAAATTCATTGCCACTAGCACTCGCCCCATCCCCTGATTTAAAATGCACCTATGCTTCTGTAAACTGAACATTCTTGATCACCCTTGTCAGTCCTTCACTTACTTTCTGGTGCATCTGAAATACTCATATATCATTCATTTAGAGGCCGCTCTGCAAAATTTCTTACTTTTCTAATTTCGCACAACAAATAACCCCTGCAACACCAAAGATCTTTCACTGTTTTATTTCTAAAATAGTCAACTTTACAAGTGAGGATCCTCCTCACTTGGTCATCTCAGGTGCTAACTGGTGATCTTCTCCCCTATCCTAAATAAAGAATACATATACTGATGTGTGAAAGAGTTTCGATTTCTTAAACTGACAGGAGATGTGTGTTTTCAGAAGGCTTGTTGCCTGAGGAGTTCCAGGCACCTTTGTTGGGGAGGGCAGTGAGATGGGCAGCAGAGAACCAGCAAAGAGGCACTGGCACTATGGAGATGATCTTGAAATCATCCTCCTGTTCTTGATTTGGTTCTCTGCCCACGTTTATTTCATCCATGCTTTTAGTTTAGTAGGGAATAAAATAAATGGCAGTTTGCTTATTTTGGAACAGCTAGCTGTGACATCAGACTCCTGTTGCTCAAGGCTCCAGGTTTCTGTGGAGATAAATCAGAGATCAGAAACCATTCTCCTTGCAAAAGTCAAGGCCCAGGTAGTAACTTGCCCAAACTTACAGTTTGGTAGAGTTAATTACTTTAATTGGTAGAATTATGACTAACCTCTGAATCTCTTCATTCTAAAGCTATTTAGCTTCCAAATGTGGGGTACCAGAGTTTTTCAAAGTATCTCTCCCCTGAATATTTTAAAAATACTGTACACAGAATCTTTACTGACATAGCATAATAATCCTTGTTCATAGCGTATTTGCTAATCATGTACCACTTTAGTAGTTTTCGTTGTCACACATTTTAGTGATACCTCTAGAATGAAAACTATGTCATTTCATAAGTTGAGTCAATCATTGCCTTTCTTTATAGTTGTCTCCCTGTTTGTATTTTAAGGTCCTGTAAGATAGGACGTGTCTTACATAGCTTAACCTTAACTAGTGCTCAAGACTAATGACATGTGGTACATATTTGTGTAATTAGCTGATCATCATAAGGTACATGTGACTGAATATTGACTGATCGAAAGGTCTGCGTGAGACTGTTGCCTGTGCTAACCAAGAACAACAGCAACAGTCTTTGAAGAACTGTTACGCATTTACACATTTAAGAAGTGCGTTGGGGGCAGGGTACAGCGCTTGCCTAGGTTTTGCAAGGTCATGGGCTCAATCCGCAACATTGCCTTCCCTTCCCCCCCAAAAAAAAAGCATGATTAGAAGACTAATACACATTAGAAGCTGAAAATGTATTTTGAAGACCTTCTACCCCAGTAAACTGAGGTACCTAAGATTGTGTGTTAAAAAAAGCAGTTACCAGTCATTTGACCTGTAGTTCTTATCAGGTTTTTTGTTCTTCAAATAATTGACATTTCTACATCCTAGGAGAAGACATTGTTGGCATACAGAGTAGACTATTTTTAAAGACGTGCTTCATCTTGCAAAGGCATGACATGCTTAAAATATTAAAAGAGACTCGGAAATAATGTGCCCTCATTGGGTCTTCACCACTCACTCGAAATCTGAGTACTTTCAGAGATATTCCATAACACCTTGTGGACTTAAAAAAAAAAAAAAAAAAACACATAGAGAAGAAACATACAACTGGGTGTCATTTAATAAAAGATACACAGCTTCCAGAAGGTATTCCAGAATGAAAGACATTCTTGAATGGCTTAAGTGGGTCATGAAAAGCAGTCTCTGACAGAAGGATTAAAGAAAACTGAGAAACTGAGCTGTGTACAATTCCTGTGCCACATATGGTATAGCTTTTTAATAACATGTCCCATTACGTGGCCAAAGAATGCTTGCTTGGATGGACTAGAATTTGAGATTGCCCTTTCTGAAAGTTCCTACCAAAATCCAAGAACAGATTTAGCTAAAATTATGAGTGAAACTCTTCTAAATATTTCCATAATTGAATGTAGACTGAATGATGTCTAGTCAAGAAAGAGAAAAAAACACTTTCAAATTCATAGGAAACATTATATGCTGAGGGCTGCTATGAGTGCTGAGATCTAGGTAGTAGTTCATTCTTTGCAGTCCACAGGTTTATTTTTAGAGCAAGGGCATAGTGTTTGGCCACCTCACAGCTAAATGCTGTTTTCAGAACGTAAGCTTTAAAATTGTTATCCTGCTCAGAGTGAAATCAGTAGTGTCTTATTTTAGACCTGCTTCAAGATACAACTCAGTGCAGTGTCTTGCCCTTGCTGGTCAGAGGTCTGCGGTCTCTCCTCTCTACCTCAGCTCGGAAGGATGGTACGGTAAAATGTTACTATCTCCTATCAGATTTTAAGTGTCATACAGAATTTTATAGTCATTTATTTATTTATTTATTTATTTATTTTTTAAATTTTATTTATTTATTTGGGAGAAGTTGAGAGAGAGAGAGAGAGAGAGAGAGAGAGAGAGGGGCCAGCTCAGCCCACCAGGGGGCGGGCTGGCTGGCATGTGGTGCTGTGGGATTGAACCGCGGTCCCTGATGCTTTTGCTAAGCTTGTTCTAAGTAGGTGCTTTAGACCACTGAGCCATCTCTCCAGCCCCTATAGTCTTTTAAAAAGTGAATGTTACAAGGGAAATTGCCTTTTTACTTGAAGTATTCTTAAGACATTCTTTTTACTATTAACCTCAAATGTATCAGGATAAACTAGGGCATCTGAAAATGAAAGTCATTTCCATACCTCTTTAACATGTTCTCTAAAGCTTTGTAAACTAAATTATTTTAAAAACTTGTATTCTGATTTGTTAGAGGAATCAGTTACATCAAGGGATTTAATGTGGCTCTAGTACAGAGGAAACGGATTTGGATAAATTGTGTGGTCTGCCAGACTTAATTACAGATGCACTGGCCTCAGGTTTCTGTACTTTTGCCATTGGGCTTTCAACAAAATGTGTCTTAATTCACTTTGACCTACAGGTAAGGGTATGATGAAGAAAGTTAGTTGACTGTGGAAGAATAGTACTTGTTGGTAGTGGTTAGAAGCTTGTCTGTTGTCCTCCCCGTCCCTCCCCTGTCCACCCTACACTAGGACAGCTAGCTTAGGCAGGGTACAGGCAGCAGCAGACTGAGCTCCCATAGCGCTCAAGTGTAGCCTCCCAGGTCCCTAAGTTTGATTCTTGTTTTGTCACCGTGATTAACCCAGTCGTTGAACTTGGTTATCAGCTGTCAGAAAACTGTTGTACAGCAGGGTGAGGGCTGTGTGATCTCGCTCATGTGCTGTGAGCTTTGCATTGTTGGTTGTTTAGTGATGGGCTGTTTATAAAACTTAACAATTTTAAGGTTGAGTAAGCTCAAGATACAAGTCTGATTTTTTTCCCTTTTGGTTGGTCCTTTAAGGAATAGATTTCAATTAATGGAGAGATTTTTATAAAGTTGTATTACTTGGCGTTAAAAAAATTGCTCTTTGGGCTGGTGAGATGGCTCAGTGGTCTAAGGCACCTACTTAGAACAAGCTTAGCAAAGCACAGGGACCGCGGTTCAATCCCCCAGCACCACATGCCAGCCAGCCCCGCCCCCTGGTGAGTTGAGCTGGCCCCACACACACACACACACACACACACACACATAAAGTTCTTTAAAAAAAAAAATTGCTCTTTACCTCAAATATATCAGGAATATTGTTTCTGTTTACTTTTGTTAATCAGTTTTCATTCACCCTTAAACAATCATAGATACTAATTTTATTTTCCTTGTGTTTTCTTTTTTAGAATCCAGTCACCACTATGTCGAGCAAGAGGGCAAAGACCAAGACCACCAAGAGGCGCCCTCAGCGCGCGACCTCCAACGTGTTCGCCATGTTTGACCAGTCGCAGATCCAGGAGTTCAAGGAGGCCTTCAACATGATCGACCAGAACAGAGATGGCTTCATTGACAAGGAGGACCTGCACGACATGCTGGCCTCGCTGGGTAATGCTCTGTTCTGATGTGAATGTGCTGGGTAGTGTTTTCACGGTGCCTTCCATGCTGATTCATAAGTCTGAAGGCTCCGTGAAGCCAGTGAACATTGAGACGAAATGTGGGGCAGTGTTTCCCAGTGGGACACAGCAAAGCCCTGTGTCTGTCTCCTTGTATCTGGGTGTTGAGCTGTGTTATTTTTGTGGAAGGACCTGTGTGGATGTGTGTCTGGGTGTGTTTTAACTATACAAGCAGTAATGCTTCTTCTAACATCCCAATGGAATATCATACTGTCTCCAAACTTAATATAGCTCTATTCATGGAGAAGACATTTTTCCCCAATAATTTTGACATCATGGGATGCTATCCGAATGATCATCCTTCTTGACAAAATGTTCCATGTGGTTTACAGTTGATATATTAAAGTTAGGACCCTCTTTTTCATTTAGGGAAAAACCCAACTGATGACTACCTGGACACTATGATGAGCGAGGCACCAGGCCCCATCAACTTCACCATGTTCCTCACCATGTTTGGAGAGAGGCTCAACGGCACAGACCCCGAGGAAGTCATCCGGAATGCCTTTGCCTGCTTCGATGAGGAGGCCACAGGTAAGGCAGAGGTGATGAGTAATTACAAAGTGAGTAATTTTTAATGTTGGTAACTGAAATGCACAGTAACCTGGCTCCCTCAGGCCTTACTCCTCCCATCTGCTGGCCCCATCCCTGACATTGCCCTTAAATGCTAGCAGGTTTACATGTTTCATGGGTCATATTTGCAGTCTCTTTGGGAACCTTAGATTATTCCTTTACTAGAAGGTTAATTCCACAGGGATTAGGCTCTCATGGTGTGTGCTGAGCCAGGTGTGGTGGTGCACATCTGTAATCCGAGCACTCAGGAGGCTGAGGCAGGAGGATTGCATGATTTCCAGACCAGCCTGGGCTACACAATGAGCTTGTAGCCAGCTTGAATTGCATAGCAAGACCCTGCCTCAAAAAGACAAAAAAAAGGGGGCTGGTGAGATGGCTCAGTGGTCTAAAGCACCTACTTAGAACAAGTTTAACAAAGCACAGGGACCGTGTTCAATCCCCCAGCACCACATGCCAGCCAGCCCCGCCCCCTGGTGGGCTGAGCTGGCCACACACACACACACAAATAAATAAATAAAATTAAAAAAAAAAAAGAATGAATCAGCCAACCAACCAAGCAGAGTATAAGCTCTGGTGTCCAGGCTACCTGCTGTCAGATTCCCTTCTGCTACCTAGTGGCAATGTAATTTGGGGCAAGCTACTTAAAGTCACCAAGCCTTTGTTATTTCATTTGTGAAATAGGCATGATACTAGCTCAGAGGGTTGTTGTGACAATGGAAGAGCAACTGAGATGTCTGTCTTACTCTTCTATTGTTGCTGGGATAAATACCTGACACTTAATGAGGGAAGGAAAGGTTTATTTAGCTCACAGTTACTGGAGGTTTCATAGTTCAAAACAGCCTGAACTACATATGAGAACTTGGAGCCCTATTTGCTCAGGAAAGAGGGTCAGTGCCGCTGTCTTCTCCAAACATCTCCTCTGCCCGAGGTGGCCTCAATCACTGACACTGCTGCCCCATGCTACAGGGTCTGGAGGAGAGGCTGGGGCGCTGCTGTGTCCAGGATGATGGGCTGCACATGTCTGAGAGAGGCCGCAGGCCTAGGGCGCAGGGGTCAGCACATGCTGCCAGTTTAATGGCTTGTGCCTCCCTGGCCCCGCCACTCACTGCTCCTCGAGCCAGGTCTGCCCCATGACTTACATGAGGCTTTGGGGGGACAACTAGACACAAATCATAACAATGTCTAAAGACATTACGTACTCCTTGGCAGTTCCTTAATGCTCACAAAAACAAAGTGTTAGCTGCATAAATACCCTTTGACAGAAACATAAGTAAGAGAAAACACATAAAGGAATGATTTCTAAGGCTCTCAGTTCACAAGGTGTAGCCAAATGTTTTTAGAAACGGAGGGCCTGCCAGGCATGATGGTACATGGCTGTGATCCTAGTACTCCTGGGAGACTGAGGCAAGAAGTTAACCATGAGTTTGAGGCCAGTGTGGGCTACACAGTGAGACCCTGTCTTTAAAAAAAGAGAGAGAGAAAGCTTGCCCTGCTTATCTGCGTCCATTGGTGCAATTTCAGTACTGGATGGCTGGAGCCTCCAATGTTGGTGCAGACCCCTTGGCTCCCGCAGCAGAACCACTCCCTGGCTTCATAGTCATTGCTGTTGCTCTTGGTCATTTCCCTGACTTCCACACAGCACCATGCCTGCTGTAGTGGCTTTGCTGTTTTTTCCTGTCTTTCTCACTGTCCTACCTCCTCTGTCTCCCTTTACACTGAAAGCCTTTCACTTGTTTCCGGGAAGAGTGGGTGTAGGAAGAACAGGCAGAAGAGACTCCTTCCTCTTCCTGCTCTGGAGCTGCTCTGTATTGCTTGCGTGCTTTAGTGGAAGCCTCTGTTGTTCTTCAGAGGGAAGACAGTAGACAGTCTCTTCTGTTCCTGCTCACTCACCCTTGTGAAGCCTTGCCTGTGACTCCTGACCACTTTCTCCTGGCTCCTAGAAAGCAAAAGGCCTTCCCATTTTTTTCACATACCAAATGTTTTCTTTGTTTCTCTGTCCCAGCATATGCATGTATGTTCTAGCTGTTTACTTAATTCCCATTACAACAGTTTCTTCTGATTGTGTTAACTAGCGTCTTGTTCTCATCGATGTCTTTTTGGCACCTACCACCATTCCTTGCCCATGGTAGATAACTGGTATTAAATGTAAGAGTTCAGTGACTCAGAGATGGGGCTTTTATTATTACAGAGCTAAAATTCTAAGATCAGGGATGCATTTTATGAAAACCTGGGATTAAATCAGCAAAACCCCCACAGATCCCAGCTTTATTCTTCAGACTCGCCTTCTAGGAGATAATACCAGCAGTGCATTGGCTTAATTTCACATGCAAGGAAGCTGCCAGTCTTCACTGTGACAGTGGTTCTTATTGTAGTGCACATGAGTTGCGTGAGGGGCTTTTAAAAATACTAATGCTAGATAACCAATCAGAGGTGACAGTCTGGCTTCTGTTCCACTGTTGTATAAGTACTTACATTTATTCTTTTAGGCAAGCAAGTATTATGAGGACCTTTGTAGAGAAACCTGAGAACAGAAGGACACTGCTTGGCTTGCTGCAGCATACACAGACACACCCTCCCACCCCGCTGGGGACAGTGTCGGTGACCAGTTGGTGCTCAGTGTTACCACACGTGAGGCCTGGCCATGTTCCTTACTGTATGTCAGATGTGTCTGCATTTAGAATTGCATTTCCCACAGAAGAGCACCAGAGTCCACGGGAAGGTTCAGTGAATGGGCCTCAGCCTTGCAGGCTCCTTCCAGGCGGTGCATGCGCCTCTTGGTGGCAGGTGACCATTCCGTGCCACTTGGAGTTAGTTTTCAGAGTAGCACAGTGCTAACCCTGGTCCTCGTCCCGCAGGCACCATCCAGGAGGACTACCTGCGTGAGCTGCTCACCACCATGGGCAACCGCTTCACAGACGAGGATGTGGACGAGCTGTACCGAGAGGCCCCCATCGATAAGAAGGGCAACTTCAACTACGTCGAGTTCACACGCATCCTCAAGCACGGGGCCAAGGACAAGGACGACTGAAAAGAACTCCAAATTCCATCCAAATGCTCCTTGTTGCCACTTTGGGTATTTCTGAGATTTTCTCTTAGAGCCTGTTGCATGCCTATAGCCTGACAGCTTTTGCCTTCCTTGTTTTGTATTTATTCTCAGCCATTTTGGGGCACATCTATCTTTATAATCAAACTGGAATTGGGACGTTTTGTTGTTTTCAGACTGGAAGGTAGGGTAATGTACCTTACCTGTGGTCCTCTTCCCTCAGTAACTGCAGACTACAGAGTCAATATATTTTTTCAGAGAAAGTTATTTGCACAATTTTTTCTGAACCATAATTAAACTTTTATGATAAAATACTTGTTTAAACTTTTTATTTACCAAAGTTGGCACTTGTGGGTTTTAGTTGCACCGTTCAAAGGCACGTATGAGCTGTGTCCTGGACAGTGGCGTGGTCCTGGCTGCTAGACTCCCCCGCTCCCGACAGCCCTAGCTGCGCTCTGCCGCTCAGTTCGTTTCCTCCCCTCTCCGGGAAGTCCTGTCACTGCCCTACGTGGGCTTCCTGCACTCTGTCTTCTGAGTTTCAAAAGGATTTCTTGTGGAAGCTGAATATGTGTGATTACTTCAGGAGCTGTAAGGCCTTAAGTTTGACCCACCTGCTTAATCTGACCTAAGCTCTTGCACTTTATTTCATGCCAGTTAAAAATGGGTCAGGACACAGTGTAATTTTCATTTGTCCTGTTTCTTAAAATACTTTAGCTCCAGAGGTTCTGTGGAATGCTTTTTACCAAAAAAGCAGATTTCTGCATCATACTTCAAACTGTTGGGAAGACTGCACTCGCTGTAGCACTTTCCTTTACTCCGGCTGCCCCCCGCCCCACAAAGCCCAAGTGTGCTTATGCAGGATTCACCCTGAGTTCCTGTGTGAATTTTAGACATTCCTGACCTGCCCACAGTCCAAGCAGCTGAAACTGCATGCCTGAGAAAGTGAGATCATTGTTCCAGTCCTAAAAATAACTTCTGCTATTTGCAGAGACAGGGCTGCTTCAGGGCATCTGTGGAGAACAACTTCATTCACTTCAGGCTTCAGAACCGACTCTTGTCAAATTCATGAGCTTTAACAGTTTGAAATGGTGGCGGGAAATTTTGGTTAAACAGTAACAGCCTAGCCTAGCTGGGGATTTGGCTCAGTGGCATAAGCACCTGCCCAGCAAGCACAGGGTCTTGAGGTTGATCCCTGGTATGTCCCGATGATGTCCAGTTTTATATACCTATTAACCAGGCCATCTGTGAAGAAACTCCTACCTCATTCATAAGAAACTGCTGACCGCCTTTGGGCCAATGACCTTTGCTCCCTAGGGGAATGAGCCAGCTCCTACAGTCTGCCAAGCCCAGCTGTGTGGCCTGGGAGCAGCATGACTGGTGACAAATAGGCTTTGCCCCTTCAAGATTATAATCACAGAACCTGCCCTGTCTGCCTGACACTCAGGGATTTAAAACAACTTTTTCCAGGATTCTACCATTATGCTAAAATTTTGTTGAACTTCCATTTCACCTGAAAAAAATCACCTCTGGTTTATTTTTATGTTTTAATCATTTAGTTATTATTTAATTGGTACGGGGCCTCACTGTGCAGCTTGGACTCACAGTGATCCTCCTGTCTCAGCCTCTCCAGCATTGGGATAACACGTGTGCGCCATCATGCCCAGTTTCGGGGCCAGCGCAGCATGTGATCAGGGATTGAACCCAGGCCCTTGCACTTGCCAGGCAGGCACTTAGACCACTGAACTATCTCCCCAGGCCCCACCTCTGGTTTATTAACAAACCTCCAATGAAGAATAAATAACATTTCCATTACATAAAGTAGTGCTACTAAAATCACCCCTTGCAGTATCTCCATTTCCCTTCTAAAACCTACTCGAGGAGACAGCCTTCTTCTGTAGGGACAGTACACGGTCTGCCCTGTGTGAGATTAGCCTGCTGTCTCAGCAGGAGCATTCTCTGCTCAGTGACTGGCCTTTGCTACCCAAGGATGAGTGCCCATAAAAGTTTACAGTATTTCCTTCAGTGCTGGATTTGACTCCAAGACCATTCTAAAAAGTTTGTGTGATGAAAATTTCCAGAGTTCTATCAGCAGGGCTCTGTCACTGTCCCCGGCTGGACTCCAGGGCCCAGATCTGAAGTGAGCAAGGAACCTACAGCTTAACAGCAGGAATTGAGTCCTAGATCTAGGAACGCCCGTCAGTTGCCCTGGTAGTAGTGGAGGCGCCAGTGGTTACTTCGAAATTGCTGAGCAGACCCAACCTGACAGGCTTGGGTGTGCTCATTAGGCGCTCCCCGCTTCTGTGGACAGTTGCTTGATTTCCCTGAACCTGGCTCCTGCCCCCTTTCACAGAGATTGCAGGAGCTGATCCCACACTGATGAACTGTCCAGTTATCCCAGGCCGTTGCTATTTGCTTTTCTAACTGTGACCGTGCCAGCTCAGATAGGGGTCAGGCCTTTCCTCCAGTGTTTATCTACATACATTCTACAGTTGTAATGAATTTACAACTTATTTATTTATTTATTTGGCAGAACTGGGGATTGAACTCAGGCCCTTGTGCTTGCCAGGCAAGCACTTATTCTACTGAGCCATCTCCCTGGCCCTACAACTTGGCATTTCTTAAACAACTTTTATGTCTTGGCATAGCTATCATTCTTGTTTGGGGTACAGTACTTCTTTAACCTTTGGGGGCTTAAGTCTTTCCTTTTAATGGATGAAAAATTATCTTTGACTTGTCTATGGCACAAGTAATTTGCCAGATGCTAGGTATTTTTAGATCTGGCTTATCATTAGTAACTATGCTTTTCTTTCGAGTCCGGAGGGAATATAGCATAGAATTACTGTTTGAATGGTGCTGTCCCTTAGATGTCTATGGTAATGAAATGCTTGCTACTGTCCTGTGGGGAGCTACCTGCCTGGGGATGTTGAACACTTGAAATGCCTCTCAGCTTAGCATTAAGATTGAGTCGCCACCTGTGGTTAATAATAATCGTGTTCGCACAACTCTAGAACCTTAAATTCAGAGGTCAGGGTAGAGGGCTGAACGCAGAACTCAGCAGCACAGCGCTTGCCCTTGCAGTAGGCCCTGGGTTCCATCTCCAGCACAACAGAAGTCTGTACAATCAGGGCGACTCAGCTGGCTAGGAGAGTCAAACTGACATTGTTTGGGCTGGATGGGCTCTGTGACAAAGACCTGTGAACCAGGGAAGGGCAGACTGCTGTTGTGGAAAAGTGTAACTGAACCAGGTGTCACTTCGGATAGGACCGCGGCATCATCACCTGGGTTCTTTCAGGGGGTGAGAGTTCCAGGGCTAGATTTCTGTGTTAGCGCCCCCCCCCCCCCCCCCCCGTATTCTTTCACCTGGGCCTTTTTACTGTAGCGGAGTGCTGGTTACCTGGTTTCTGCCTTCTAGGAATTACTGATCAAAGATTTCTCCATGTGAACTCCTGAAGAAAGAAGTTTGAATCATTCCTCTTTGCAGCATCCAGCTCATGTTTGGGCAAAGTGTGCTCTATAAAGAGTAGCTGTTAGGTTCACTTCTCTTCCATTATTTTGAAGTAGTGCTATTCTAGATTATTGAGTCGAGGGCAACTGTCCTGAAGATCATGGTCACAAACAGCATCTAGAAGAAAACCTGAAATAGCACGCAATTTTTGATTCAAAGTATCTATGTGCCCGCACAGTGTCCATGTAGGGTAACATCTCTTCATATCTTAGGAAATCAAAAGATTTTGAATAAAACTTTCTCGTGGTTGAAACGTTATAATTAGGAGGTAGGAAAGGAGTGGAGTTATTACTGAACTTGACTCTGGCCGGGGTTCAGTTTTGAAAGAAGTGAAGGGGGCTTCCGGAGCTGGCAGGAATGTGCCCGGCCACCGCCCTCCTCCCTATTACAAGATGAGTTGTTTATCTGAAATGAACAAGTAACTAGGTTTTCTTCGGCTAACCCAGGACCCGCCCGCCGCGCCCGCCGGGGGAATGCGGAAGGGCCCGGGCGGGCGGCCGGAAGGCGGGAGGGGGCTGGGTGCAGCAGCCGCGGCCGCGCCGGGACGGGAAGGACGAGACCACGCGGCGCGAGCGGGGGCGTGCGGCCCGGAGGCTCGGCTTCCCCGCGGCGCTCGGGCCTGCTGGACCGGGCGTTACCCCCTGCCCACTTGGACTCGCCCGCCTTCCGGCGCGACTTCCGCCCCGCCCCTCCCGGCAGGAAGTGCAGGCGCGAGACCATCCGGCCGCAGCCCCCTTCTGTCTGTGCAGCTCGTGTGAACTCGGGGCGGCGCTGCTTCTCGTGTCCGGAGCCGGGTGAGTGGCTTTCGACCCTGCAGGGCGACACCGGCTGCGTGCCTGAGGCGGGACCGGGGCGGCGGGCGGAGACGGGCGCGGAGGGAGGCCCAGCCGGACGCCCAGGCTGGGAGTGGAGGGCCCGGGATCTCCGGGGCGCGCGGCGCCGGGCGGGAGACGCCTGCGGAGGGGGGCCGGCCCTTGGGCGACCACGCACACCGGGTGCCCGCGGCGCGCCGTCGGTCGGTCCTGCGGCCTGCCAGGGCGCTGTTCGTGCCCGAGGTGAATCGTCCAAGGAAGTACCCGAGAGCCAGTCCCAGAGTGCGCGGCTGGCACGGGCCCAGATGCCACTTTTCCATAGGAGCTGTAGTTCTTCATTGTTTTCGTACGTCTTGTATTCACGGTGACTGAAGAGAAGGACGATTGAAAAGACTTCCTTAACAAAGAATCGTGAGCTCAGTGAAGTCTCTGGGCTGAGCCCTAGGAAGCAGAAGTTAGTATTTCTAGCTGGATCCGTGGCAAGAGATAGGAAGCCCAAAAACCAAAAGAAAAGGGGAAAAAAGCTCAGAAGGTGGGAATTGTGTCTTGTGAAACAGCCAGTGGGAGGCCGTCCTGGAGCAGGACTGCAAGGACCACTAGCTGGAAATGGCAGTAGGGTTGTGGTTGGGCCGTGTGGCTCAGCGGTGGAGCGCTAGTGGTCCGCCCTGGGTTAGATAACGTCCGCGCCCTGCGCCCCCAGTGCAACGCGGGACAGTGCATTGGGGCTTAAGGTAAGAGTGAGGCCTTTTTATGGACGTCTTGACAAAGAATGAAAGATTTTGTAAGAGGTCCTACGAGATTATTAGGATTCCTCAGTATGGGCAAAAGGGGGTATTTGGGAGAATTGTTGGGAAGCATTTGCCCAAGATAGGTTTGAAATGGCCTTTTGGTAAAAGAATCACAGGGTTTTAGATTTTGCTGGGCCTTTATAAGGTTTTTCCTGAAACGTTTTGATTTTATAGTTGAGACTTGGAATTCCCACCACACCAGCCTACAGCTCACTCTCGGTAGGCACTGGCTTTTGTTTGTTCGGGCTCTGCTGAGTGAAACAGCTTCTGTGGTGGTCCACTCTAATTTTTTGTGCTTTCATGAGATTTAATTTGGACAGAATGAATTAAATCTTAATAACAGATCAGCAGATGAGGGTGGCCAGGGTTCGGAAAGACGTAGAGGATTCAGAGCAGCTAAATAGGCTAGTTTTCGTCTTCCCTCATTAAAGGTCGCCAAGCATTTGGAGATGATGTTCATTATATCCAAGTGCCAGCATCTTTGATTGGGATCTTTCAAATTCCACAAGGAGGACCAAAGGGAATTTCCACCCTCTGAAGGTGTTTGGTGGTTGAGCCTTCTGAAACAGATAATAGATTAACAGAAGAAAAGACATGAAGGTTATTGTGTGCAGGAAAACAGGAGGGTGAGTGCTCAACCCAGTGAATTATAGCAGCCTATCTACTCTATTCAACGGGGAGAGGGAAGTAGTAGGGGACAAGGATGCTTCAAAGTAAGAGTAAATGATTTTTAGGGAAGATAAATGAGTGTGGAGGAGAGTACTAGCTCTTTCTCTGGGTTCTGGGTGTGGTGTCAAGTCTAGTCTTCTTTGCTGAGAATTTTGTTGGGTGAGATTATGGGGAGTGGACCCCAGACAGCTGCAGTCCTTGTCAAGGAACTTCCCGTGGTCACAGGAGCGTCAGAAAGCTCCTCCCTAAGTGGGCATTGCGCCGAGCCTTCTGTAGTCCATAGAGAAAAGCCTGGACCCACTTGCGTGTGTGTGCGCACACCAATGTACACACAGGTGAAAGATTTTGTTTGTAACAGGAAATAAAGTATATTTGGTTAACTGGTATTTATTAAGCACCTGCCATGCACTCAAGGTAGTATGCTCATCCTTGCAGACCAAGGTAGAAAGGCAAAAGACCTTGTAAATCATAAGGCAATGTGATATTTTTTTTTTTCTCAAAGTTTTATTGACAAAGAGATAGCAATGAGACAGTTTCAAATCAAATCGGAAGGACAGTTTCAACAAATAATACACTGCATATATTCTTCTTAGTGGTTAATTGCTGTACAAGATGCGGACTTGTGATCCTATTCACAAACACCATTAGAACAAATCATTCTATTCATAAGGCAATGTGATATTACCCAGCAGTAAAAAAGAATGAAAGGTCACAGGCTGGGCTCAAGCTGTAGAACTCCGACTAGCATGCATGAGGCCCTAAGTTTGATCACCAGCACCACAAAAATTTAGAGAATGAAACACTTGAATCACTGGGGGGCCGGCCAAATAGTTTAGTTGACTGAAGCGCCTGCTTAGGAAGAGTGCAGCGGCCGACCAGGCCAGGTTCCATCCCTGACATGCTGTGCCGACCCTGAGACAGTGGTTGAGACTGGCTGGGTTGGCGCGCACGCCTGTAATCCCAGCCCTTGGGAGGCTGAAAACGGGAGAATCACTACGAGTCTGTTCTACGGAGTGAGGCCCTTTAGACCCTGTACTAAATTAAAAAAAAAAAAAAGTCACTAGTACACTTAACTTGATGTGTTTGTTGTTTGAGACTGGATCTCACTGTAACCCAGGCTGCCCCTAACTCTTAAACCTCCTACCTCAGTCCCCCGAGTGCTAGTATTAAGGTGTGTAACACTGAACTCAACCTAACAAAACAGATTGGTCTAGAATTTACTATATTGGGTAAAAGAAGTTAGGCATGTTAAGTATGTACTGTGTAATTTCTTTTATAAGAAGTGTAAAGATGCACCAGAGAAAAACCTGAACAGGGTTAGCAATAGAAGAGCACCTTTGATTTAGAGGGAACTTTTAGGAGTGATGTTAACATTTATAATTAACACTATTGGTTCGTCTAAGTGTAAACCTTTATAAAAATGTGCTGTGGTTTGTAATTTCGCAGCTGTCAGTTTCCCTGCAGTAAACCAGAAGAGGTGGGAGTTCAGAGGATAGGTTACTGCAGACTGCAAAAAAAAAAAAAAAGTAAGAAAGAAATGACAGTACCAGAATGTATCTGGTAAATGTTAAAATACATGTAGTAGGGGGAAAGCATACCTGGTGTTAAAGTTGTAAATACTGAGGTTTGGTTCCTTAACAGAGTTACAATGTTTATGGAATGGACTACTGATTTTTACTTTAGTATGCACCATAAAAACAATGATATGTAATTAAGTATATGAGATTAACCTTGTAAGCCATTTTAACTTGATTATATACTAGATTCTCTTTTTATGATAGCTGTTTTCAGAAGGCCATTCATGTATCTAGTCATTTGATACTCTTAATTAGAACAAACATTAATTAGTTTTGACTAGTTAGTAAGGGACCGACCATGGGAATCCCTGAGAGAGTTCTAAAGATTTCGTCGATCTTGGTGAAGGTGCAAGGGGATAAAAAATGACCTTTCGGTTTTAGCCCCAGACAGGCCTGCTTTTCTGTGCGTGAATGAGTTCCTCCTGCAAGTCTGCTTACCAACCGCCCTAAGCTTCCTGTCCTCCTAGCCTCTCAACCACCAGCCTTGCACAGTGTGGCTAAAGCTTGGCTTGCCTCATGTCCTCAAAACCAGTTACCTCATGTTTGAGTGGTACCTGGACGCCACCAGTCTTTCAACCAGTACTTAAGAAAAAAACATCAAAGACAGCTTCCTCAAAAGCTCCAATTAGGAAGTATGGAGCAGCTGCTCATTGGCTGGGACTGCCAGCCAGCTGGAGTGCTGGACTTGGAAAATGAGTAGGGGTTAAAATTGTCTAGCCAGAAATAGAAGACTCCCAGTTGAGTACAAACTTCACCGTGGTCCCTTGAGCTTTCTAAAATTCTGTAGCTCTACTTCCGAAACAAGAGCATTGCCCTATTTAACAAGGAAGCAGTGTTATTGTAATTTTTCTGTGGGTATATAACAAATTGCTCCCAAACTTAACTCCTTAAAAATGGAGTGCATGGGGCTGGTGAGATGGCTCGGTGGTCTGAGGCACCTACTTAGAACAAGCTAAGCTAAGCAAAGCACAGGGACCACGGTTCAATCCCCCCGGGCCACATGCCAGCCAGCCCCACCCCCTTGTGGGCTGAGCTGGCCCACACACACAAAATAAACAAATAAATAAATTTTTTTTTTAAAATGGAGTGCACGTGTTTGAGGGCCAGGTACTCAATAGCTGGTGTGTTTCCGGGCCTCTCCTGAGGTCACAGGATGTCAGCTGGGGCGAGTGAACAAGAGGCCTCAGTCTGCTCCCGCAGACTGGATGGCCAAAGACGGAGCACGGCAGAAACTGTGGGGTCTCATGACAAAGTCACGCCGTCACTTCCCAGCGTCTTATTGTCACAGTCCAGACCCTTCTGCTGTTGAAGGGAGCTGGACTGCTGGGGTCTAGCCTTCACTGTACCCTGGCACTCCCCAGTGCATTTTCAGGGTGTGCCCCACTCCCAGCGTTCTCTTCAGTAGCCTAGACTGAGACCCAGGCATCTTTCTTTGAACTTCGAAGATAACTAATGTGCAGCTAGCTACTGGGAAAGCCATTTGGAGGCAGCAGCCTGCTAAGTTAACATGTTTTAAGTTTTAGGAAAAGGTTTCAAAGGAAAGTTGAAGTCAGAGTGGCCAGAATTATGTGCCAGGAGCCTCTTTCCAGGCCTTGGAGGAAGCCAGATGAGCTATATGACGTTCACAGGCAATCTCTGCTTATTATGATAATAATGTTCACCTTTGGATTTGCATATTGGTCCTGCAGGTGGCTTAGAACCCTCATCAGCTGGGTGTGTTGAAGAGGAAGTAAGATGTGTTTTTGCTGCTGTGGAAGATAATTCATTATATTATGTACCGAGTTGTGTGTGGATAGTTTCTTCCCTCCCTATAGTTCAAGGATAGGCTTGGGTGTTTTTTAACAAGTTAAACATTAATAGTTTCACAATCTTAGGTAAAAGTTGCAAAGCAAGATCATGACAGAAAGTCTTGCCGTTTGATTATGTGTCACTGGTATCCTAGCACTCTTCACAGTACCTTCTCCCATGTGCTCTGGGTGGATTTGAGAGCTCTACAGGATTTGAACCTCAGAATAGCTGCCCTGAAATTCATATTGGGTTACATCGGTAGTAGAGTTTTAAAATTGTTAAAATAACTAGACGAACATCATGAAGTAAAAAAAATGCACATACTTTCTGTGGACATAACATGTAAGAGATGAGCATGCCTTAGTGTCCTCGACCTTCACTCCCTCCCGGGGAGCCTTTCACAGGTCACCCAACACATGGGACAAGCTGTCTGTGGGATAGACCTGCAGTACCAGGTTTCCAAGGTGACACAGTATGATCAGAGGGACTGAACTTTATTTTATTTTGAAAAGTGACTCTGAACTTTAAAAAGAAACTTAGTACAGTAAAAGACATTGCCATTAATTCTCCTGTCCCTGATGCACTTAGCACATCATTTTTGCCACTTCTGACACAGATCTGGGAGTCCTCTTTCCTGAGTGCCTTTAATTTTGCTGTCCTGACTCCTCAGTGCCCTGAATGCTTCAGGATGGTTTCCTTTCATGTTCATGCTTGATTTGGGGGGAAGAGGCTGAAGTCACTGCACAGCGCCAGGTCTGGTGCATAAGATGGGGGAGGACATTTGGCCGTTTTTATGGGCCTGTCTTTCTGCTGGATGGTGCTTAGTAGTAGCATTCACTGTATTTTTGATCACACCTCATAAGGACACTGAGGAAGGAGGACTCCAGAACTGCTTCAGAAAGTGGCAAGAACCATAGGATGAGTGTGGAAACAAGGGTGAGGCTCCCGAGGGGGCTAGTGGCGGTGTGACTCTTGCTGTAATGAACCTTTTAAATATCCATTCTCTGTTTCTGGGCAGTGCATGTAGGGATTGGTGTCTAGCTGGAGGTGAGGCGGTGGACGCCCAGGTGGAGTGGACACAGGCACAGAGGCCCGTGCCTGTCCTCTCCTTCCGGAGAGGGAGAGCAGAGCCTAGGAGATGCAGAAAGATGTGGTTACACCCGTGTGGGGGCCCTCCTCTGGTGGAGCACCGAGGGGAGCTTTGAGGGAACCAGGAGGCAGGAGCCTGGTGTGCAGGCGCGTATTCCACACAGAAGGTGAGGAGGATCTGGCTTGGGCTGGTGCAGAGAACAGAGGAAGTGAGCACATCTGAGAAATATTTGGAGGCAGGGTGACGCATGGGGTAAGGGGCGTGTGCAGATGGCTGCCACTTCTGGCTGGTGTGTGGGTGGGTTGTGGTTGGGGTGGAGGAGGAGACAGAACCGGGAGAGAATAGGAGGGAGCACTCAGCTCTCAGCTCGCTCTGCGCGATGCGCGCAGACTGACTGGGATCCAGTGGGAGGCTTTCCTGGACAGCTGGGCGCGCGGGTCAGGGCTGAAGGTTAAAATCAGTCCTGGTGCTGCGGGCGGGCGAGTCCTGGGTGCTGTCACAGCAGAGTGGTTGAGCCTGGTCTGGAGACACAGGAACGTCTGAGCGAAGGTGAGGAAGGTCAAGGGAGAAAGCAGGGCCAGTCATAGAAGGAGAGCTTGGAGAGCGAGTGGGCGACAACCCAACCTCAGTCCCCCTCAGGAGTGTAGAGTTCTAGGGGTGAGGCCTCTCAGGCTCTTTCAGCCAGGGACTGTCCATTTCCGTTGTCACTGGCCAGGAGGGTAAAGTCCAGAACAGAAGGGGAGACAAGACAGACAGAGAGTGCATGACAGAGCCCTGACCCGAGCGCATGAGCGCAGGTGCATATCATGCCACATGCAGTGGAGAGGGGGCGTGCTCCCCTCAGGTGGATGGGTTGATACCACTGTGCCTCACTTTCCTGGTGGGGTGTATGTTTGTTTTCATTTGTACACACACAGATGTGTGAGCAAAATTATTTTCTCTTTTTTTGCAATGCTGGGGAATGAACTGGGGTCCTGGCCTATACTAGGTGAGTGCTGTACCCGAGTTATGCCCCCAGATCTCAAGTAAGGCTGGGGCTATGTAGCTCAGTGATAGTGTTTCTGTCCCTGAGTTCAGACCCTGGTACCACAAAAGAAACAAAAGAAATCCTAGTGTTGTTACTGTGGGCTTTGTTTGCTGAGTAGCATTTTGATTAGGACCATCTAGCTTTTAGTTCTCTTCCATCCACAAAGTTTTATTTGTATTTATTTTATTTATTTATTCTGTATTTTAGGACAGCGTTTACAGGGTCTCACTACGTAGGTCGGACTCATGAGTCTCCTGTTTCTAGCCTCCCAAGTGCTGGGATTACAGGCGCATGCCACCATGCCCAGTCTTAATTGCTGTCTCAGCACACCCCAGGGGCGGGGCCAGCACTGCCTGTCAGGGATCTACACTCTGCCTAAGCAGGCGCTTTAATCCGCTAAACTTTTTGGCTGGCCCCATCCACAGAGTTTTAAATGTTATCTTATGAACATGGTCTACTGAGTAAAGCTATCCTTTCCTTCAGGCTTACTCTAAATACGTTCTGGATTTTTAGCGTGGAAATGTCTTATATAACATTGGGACATGAGGACATGGCTGTGGGGAGTGGGGACCTCAGCACACCTGCGGCTCTCAGTTTGGTCCCCAGCAACTAAAGACGAAGTCAGGTGTCTGCTAGCAGCCACAGTGTGCTTCTGGCTTAACGCTTAGACTAAGCAAGGTCAAGTGACAAGCCAACTTCAGTGAGAAGAAAACTAGCGTTTATTCTAGACCTGTGTGGTGAGGGCTCAGGCTGTGTGTTCCTAAGGACACTGCTGAGCCCGCTGCCCAGCACGCTGGAAGGGCCCTGCAGATTAGAGAAGCACGCGTTGCACGTGCAGGCTAACAGCCCAGGTGCCCGCTCAGGGCCAGCCCTCTGGTGTCTGCTTTCCCCACGACCACCCTCAACTTCCAAGAGTCCCCAGGCCTCACAGCTCACAGAGGTGCTTTATGAAGTGGAAAGAATCAGGTTAAGGTTAGCCAAGCAGGGGGCTATGGGGCGGAGCTTCAGCAGGTGTCTCCCACTGATAGCAGGCAGCACTCACCGCCTGATGGCACTGCATGACAACAGGGAGCGTGTTGCCAGCAGAGAAACCCAGCTGATCTGAGTCCAGCATTCTCCTGTATGTCGTCATGTGGCAGTCACCTGCCCAGAGACTGGGCTCTGTCTGCAGCAGTCCAGGGCTGTAGGCATCATGAGGGACATTTCTGAGCTGGGACAAGGGGCAGACCTCATCCGGCTCATAGAGCAGTCACAGAGGTGGAGGAACACCTCAGATCAGATAGTGAATCTGGGATTTGGGGTTTCCAGAGGTTGTGTGGAGCTAATAATGATGGAGCTGGATTTGAACTCAAGTGTCCTAACTCTGAACCCAATAGTGTTCAGTTTCATTGCCGTGCAGGACACCAGAGCTGCCACACGCGCTGGCGTGCCAGACACCGCCCTGTACATGGACCAGAGTGTGACTGTACCCATAGTGCCCAAAACTGCAAATAACAGTGACGGGAAGAATATTGCTGTTTGTGGGGATCCAAGTACTGGTGGCCTTCACAGCAGAAGTCGGGGGCCAGCACCAGGGCCGTCTGCACAGGGCTCAGAGTGATGGGGAGGGTGAGAAAATGGAGATGATGTTGCTGCTCTAAAACTTTGGTCAAGGAAAGGGGAGCTGAAGGCGTGACTGGGAGAACTGCAGGACTGCACCAAGCGAGGCTGGGAGGTGGGGAACAAGACTGCGAGGTGACCTGGTGAGCTGGGACTGGAGGGTCCACTTTGGAGCCTTTCTGTGGGCAGCCCTGTAGCTTCAAAAGAAAACAGTTAAGTGCTGCTGCTGCTGCTACACATTTCAAATTCATTAAAATCCATTCCATGAAGTTTGGGAGAAGATAAGTCATTTTCTATTTTATTTTATAATTCTTTCAAAACTGTGCAACTTTCCAGCCACCCCTGAAAGTAAAGCTCTGCTGTGTGCCTACTCCGCCCGCGGGTGGATGCAGCACTTCTGTGGGAAAATCGTTATTCACGAGGGTGTTCCGCATTCTCTTTTCACCTTGTGTCTTAAGCATCGTTTCTGTTTCTCCTTTGAATTCCAGAACTCATTCGCCACCATGTCGAGCAAAAAAGCGAAGACCAAGACCACCAAGAAGCGCCCTCAGCGCGCGACCTCCAACGTGTTCGCCATGTTCGACCAGTCGCAGATCCAGGAGTTCAAGGAGGCCTTCAACATGATCGACCAGAACAGAGATGGCTTCATTGACAAGGAGGACCTGCACGACATGCTGGCCTCACTAGGTAACTCCTGTTCCTCATGTCCCTTTTCCCAGAAATAACAATCCAGCTTTCCTGAGTCCTGCTGTTGTGTGGTATGCAGGTAGCCCGGTCCCTGGCACAGAAGGTGGAGAGAGATTCCTAGGCTGGACCAGCACAGATGAGGCAGAGCCTGCAGGGCTGCAAACCAGCGGTGTGCGGCCTGGTGGGCTTCTGTCTGTTAGCTGAAGACCTTGTTAGGTTGGGAGCCAGGGACAGCTAGCGAGCAGAGTACCATAGCAGATTCCAGGCTGTAAGCTGGAGGTGATGGTACTAAGCAGTAATGATTCTTGGGAAGGAAGAGAACACGGAGGGGCTTTCACAGTGTTGTTTTTTTATAATTAAAAGAGTGGTGTAGTTTTTATGCCTGTTCAGGAGCCTATTCAGGAGGCTGAGACCAAAGATGGAGAGTCCATGCCACCTTGGGCAACTGCACACTCCCTGTCCAAAAAGTCAGTGGGGGTGGGGCTCTAGCCTAGTGATGCAACTTTTGCCTGTTATGCATGAGGCCCTGTATGGATTCCTAGCATTAGAGGGATGGGGCAGGTATGGGATTAGAAATTACATTAATCACCCTTTATTTGGGGTATATAAGTATTTATTCATCTTTAAATATAAAACTGGCTGCCTTTTTTCTTGGTGGAACCAGGGATTGAACTCAGGCCCTTGTGTCTGTCAGGCAAATGCTTATTCCACTGAGCCATCTCCCTGGCCCCAGGCTGCTTGATTTTTTAAAAATGTATTTTATTTTTGCAGTACTGAGGATTGAACCCAGGGCCTTCACAATAAACTACATCCTCGGCCTTTCTGAAGTTTGAGACACATGGGTTACTAAGGTGCTTGGGCAGAACTAGTGACTCTCCTGCCTCAGCCTCCCAGAGTGCTAGGATCACAGGGTTCCATTACTGTCCAGGTAGTTTTGATTTTTAAAAGGAACAAGGAAGAGAACGTCCTGTGTGTTCTGTCAGAATAGGCATTTTACATGTAGGCATAGAGGAAGAGCAGCAGGCAAAGGAGTCCCCGAGAAGCCCACGCTTGGAGGGGTGCAGAGGGCCTGGGTAGCCTATGTGAGACTCTGGGCTTGCGCGGGCCTGCTTGATGACTTTCAGGAAGGACAGCGCGGGGGGGGGGGGTCCCTCAAGAGCTAGCTTTTGTTCCTCTGCTCCGTTTTTTTCCCCCCTAACATTTTTAAGAGTCTCTGCTTTACAAAAAATAAAACTTAAAAGAATAGCATAAAAAAAAAAAAAGAATAGCATAGTAAACATCCATACAAGGAGTGATTGAAATAAATGTATGATGAATATTTATTAGAGCAAAAGGTACCTTGCCACTAGCCCCCCAACCCCCCACTCACACACCCCACAAGCACACTTACCCATTTTTCTTGCCACTGGCTGGTGTGTTTCTGCAAGTCCTCTTTCGTGAGTGGCTTCATGAGGTGTGGCCAGAGCTGGGAGGAGTGCTGCTGCCGAGGGCGCCCAGCAGTGGGGCGGCTCCTGGTGGAGCGTGGCGCTTCGTCCTCCTGCTCTCCTCCAGGTATGGCTCGCTGTGACTTCTGGCTCTGCCCTCCAAGTGGCCAGCGAGAGGAAGCACTTTAGATGTACTCAGGAGCTAACTAAAGATGCTCACGAGAGGAATTCCACAGCTTCCTCCGGAAGGGCAAGAAGGATGGGAGAAACATCCCAAGGGGGGAGGGGGGAAGCAGTTTAAGGAGGGTTAGTGCCAGTATGTGCTCTATGGTGATTTAAAAAATTTGTTACCGTCCCTTTATTTTTCATTCGCACCACCCGTGTCCTCCTTTACCCATATTCACAAGTTGTCAGCATTTTCTTCGAGCATTTCCTTTATTTGAGGAGAGGGAGTTGGGACACTTGGCCTGATTTGCCAGCTTGTGGGTGGTTGTTTCTGTGTCTTCCACATTCGCGGTAGCTGATCCAGCGGGGTTGGACTGAGGTGTTACTGAACGTGGCACCTGACAGTTGAAGGCCTCTGCGTGGTCCAGAGATTGAAGTCCTGTCCACTCCCAGCTTGAGTCAGTGCGGACGAGCTGTGCCTGATAGGCGGCCACCCTCAGGACTTTCTGGCCGGGAGTCGGCCAGGACGCCTCGCGCCCCGCTTAGCCGAGGCCCATCTCGTTGAAATGTCTTTCTTTCTAGTTTTCCTGAAGCTTTTGGATTACGGTTCCCCACCCTTTCTCAGTAAATAGTATTGTGAGAGGAGTAGTTTGATATGCAAATAGGAAAGTAGGTCTTTGAATTTTTTAATTCAAACCCACTAGGGTGTGGTGCCTCCTCCTCCCAGTTTTCAGGTTCTGCTTATTTTCTCTTATTTTCTCTTCATGTTTTGCCGCTGGGGATGCAACCCAGGGCCGCGCATGTGCAAGACTCATGCCGCACTTGAGCCTCACTGAGGCCCAGTTGCCTTGTGTAATGGAGAACAAAGAAAAGACCGGAGGGTGTTAAAATGGGCATTGGTCAGATGCCCTATTCTTTCTCTCCTCTGGTAGGAGAGAAACCCAAGGCCCTCTGAGCTAGCCAGGCCCACCTCTGAGCTACCCCGCCCTGGCCCTGTCTCATTGCACTTGCTCGCTGTTGCACAGGGAAGAACCCCACAGACGCCTACCTGGACGCCATGATGAATGAGGCGCCGGGCCCCATCAACTTCACCATGTTCCTCACCATGTTTGGGGAGAAGCTCAACGGCACGGACCCCGAGGACGTCATCCGGAACGCCTTTGCCTGCTTCGACGAGGAGGCCACTGGTGCGTGCCTTACCCCTAGCCATAGGTGTGGGGACACTTTTTAGGGAAGGGAAACAGAACGCAGGGTACTGTGGGCAGCAGAACTGGGGGTGCCCAGAGCCTGGACACGCAGGTCCCCAGCTGGCTGATACCTTGGTCCTTGTGTTTGGCTCCACGCCTCCCAAAATAGGCTGCAGCCTTTTAAGTCATGCTTTTCAAACAGTGTGAACTGGTTGAAGAGACATTTGGCCTCACTGAAAACTATTATTGGGCACTAGGAATAAGTTAGGAGACTTAGTTTTCTTTGTTTTTGTCCTTACTTGGGCAGAACTGTTTTAACACATTAAGCCTGGGTGCTCCTCCACCTCGGCACCCCCTGGCGGTCAGTCCCATTCCACCATCACCACCTTCATCCCCATCCCTGCACTCCTCACGGTCCAAAGCTGCAGCCTCTGCTATCTCATTA